TTGATACGCGCACCAACTTGGTCTGATACTAGCGATTCAGGAGTATCAGACCAGAGCGCACTAAAGTAATCCGCGAGCGTTTACATCGAGCGAACCAAGCGATTTGATACCGATATAGTATTTGGTACGCGTACCAAACGATCGGTGTAAACTAGCTCAACGTCTCGTGCGCTCGGATGTGGATTGGCTAGCGCTGGTTTCCCTAGCCAAGTTCCGCCGCGCGGCAACGTTACCGCGTCCAGTGGGCAGGAGCCATAATCCCAATCTCAATCCGTAGTCTGATACGGGCTTAACGAATTTGATTGGTCTATAAGCAAATGCACAAGAAAATGGACCAATCAATTTCGTTCGGACTATGAATACCGGCCTAGGTGTAGAACGGGCAATCAGTACGGGAATTCTGTAACTTGCAATCGATGATTTTCGGTATCGTTAACTAGCAGTGAACTCTATACATACTGGAATGAGTGATCTATAGTTCTGGCTGTAGCCGAGAGAGAGGTGCGTTGGGTGAATCCTTGTCTCCTTCTAGTACTACCTGATTGGATAATCGCATATAAATGACGCCCTTCTTCTCGTCATTTATGTGCGACTATCCAATCAGGTAGTACTAGAAGGAGACAAGGATTCACCCAAACGCACCTCTCTCTCGGCAACAGCCAGAACAATAGATCACTCATTCCAGTATGTATAGAGTTCACTGTTAACTAGCGACCGCCAATAGCGAGGACGATCTTCGAAAAAGACGCAGATTTTCATTGGTTGTTCCTATAGTTAACGTTATCGAAAAACCTCGATAGCAAGTTACAGAATTCCCGTGCAGGTTTCTCTCTGACCATACTACGGTCGGCATTGGGGATAGTACAAGTACCGGCAGTGCGAGGGCATTACATACGTGTGTGCGGGAAAAAGCCCGGGCGCGACCGATCTCACTGTCACGTTATCTCTCCGGCAGTATTATAGTATAGTCAAAGTGGTCAAAGTATAGTGCGACCGCGGTTTTGAATAAACGGTAGAGAGAGATTTCGACGCGCATCTCGTTAAATCGTTTTGCCCGAGTCAATTGCCGTCGCGCTCCCGGCTCGATTTCGCGTCCGCGCGTAAAGGAGGGATGGGACCGTGGTAATTTAGAAATCGCCGCGATCCGTCCATTAGTTTAAGGGCGATTTCCGCGAAATGTTGGACGAAATTGTTAAAATCGTACGCTATCGATTGAGAGTCTGATTGGTTAAGCCAGTGCTTTAATGCAAGTATGGCCGCCCTGCCGTCACCTACGCAGGTACACGGCGATTTTCACGATTTTACAAGGATACACCGTTTATTGTGCCTCGCGCGCGCCGTAGGAGCTTCCTCCCGCGTGCTCCCCTCGTCGCTCGCACCAAATTGTCGCGCTAGTCGCCGGACTTTCGCCTTCGACGAGGAACCCGTCGCTCCCGAGGGCGGTCCACCGTTCGCCTTCGATGGCGGTGCCTCGAGTATCGAGTGGTCTCGAGTCTCTCTCGACGTATAATGTCGGTGGACCTTCACCCGGGAGGAAGCGCCTTTCGCCGTTCCACGGATGCGCCATAGTCGAGTCACCATTAATCCCGTAGCGTCCCAGAGCGTTACGCGCGACGAGTCGTCTCTCGCCGCTCGCCGCTCGCCTATATCCAGCTTTATTTATATACGACTTTTGTCACCGCCCAAGACGAGATTACGTTACTCGTTGTTTATCGCACGCGTCCAACAACCAACACTAATATTAAGATGAAGAATACATTTGTATATGCGTTTCGTTCCATTTACAGGTGGCTGGAAGCCATACCGCGATATACGAAGCTTATTACAATCAGGTGTATATACATATACATGTCTATATATATACTTATATACTGTAGAGAGAACAGCTTTCCATGCACATTCCTCATATGTGCGTCCCCAACCAGCTTGGATACTCAGCCGTGTGCGTTTTTGCCTCTAGGTCGATCCAAACGGATATGGACGGATCGAGGCGATGGACGCTGCGAGATTTCTCAAAAAGTCCCAGCTGAGCGACGTCATTCTAAGTAAAATATGGGATATGTCGGACCCGCAGTCGCGGGGCTCCCTGGACAAGTCCGGCTTGTTCGTCGCGCTCAAGCTGTGCGCGTTAGCCCAGACAGGGAAGGACCTGAATATGTCTAATTTAAGTCTCGAGATGCCGCCGCCGAAAATGGTAAATTTAACATCGTGTTTTTATTCCAATCCATTTCAATTTGTTCCACCTACTACTTGTCTCTCCTCTTGTCAGGGCGACATCCCGATTATCCCGCAGAAGACCGTCGCCAATGCTCTGCCCGTTATAACGTCCGTCAGTAGCGGAGATTGGTCGATTAATCCGACGGAACGGGCGAAATACGATCAGCTCTTTGATAGCTTACAGCCGTCCAACGGCTATATATCTGGGAATAAGGTGAAAGGTGTTCTTATGGACAGCAAGCTTCCCCTGGATACTCTCGGCAAGATTTGGGACTTGGCGGACATGGACAAGGATGGTATGCTGGATAGACATGAATTTGTAGTTGTGAGTATACGCCAATTGTATAATCGTAATCTTTCCCCCTTTTTTTCGTATACACTCCGAACCTTTGCTGTACAAACTCTTGCTGTAGCTGTAGTCGAGGCAACGCTCACGTAATGACAGTGACTGTGTAATATCGTGTAAAGTACCGAAAGGTCTTTATGTTGGACGTTAAATATCACTCGTTTTCTCACGTGGAATTATACCGTCTTCCTTCTCTTTATCCGACTTTGATTACGCAGGCTATGCATCTTGTGTATAAAGCATTGGAAAAATATGCGATACCGAGTGTACTTCCACCAGAATTAATGCCACCTGGTAAAAGGAAAGACGTTATTGTCCCCAAGGCTAAATCTCCTACGCCAATGAGCATAGCGATTGCCGCTTCACCGTCACCGCAATCGCAACCGCAACCACAACCACCGCCTATCCCACCCTTACCCAATACTACGGCTGTAAAGAGCTTGACTGGGTTAGACGTTGTAAAGGTATCTTTTCAACTGTAATTTATTAACTCGGAACGCCTCTCCCCACTTATTGCGTTTCCCTAGCAATAGCATAGTAATTCTTTCACCTGTGTGTATTCTCAGACAAGCGTGCAGCAATGGGTAGTTTCGGCCGAAGATCAAATAGCTGCGGAAAAATTATTCTTACAAGCCGACCTGGACAGGGATGGATTTGTTTCTGGTGTAGAGATCAAGGACGTTTTCCTGCAAAGTGGACTTGCGCATCACGTCTTAGCCCACATATGGTAATGGCAGCGGCGCTTTTGTTATATTTACCACAACTTGTCAATATTAACGCAACATTAACGAAAGGAACATTTAATGAATTAGGAGTTTGTGTGACATTTGTCAAAGCGGCAAGCTGAATAAGGAGCAATTTGCCATTGCTATGTGGCTCATCAAGCAAAAACTCAATGGCATAGATCCGCCGGCAAGCTTGACTCCTGAAATGATACCGCCCTCCATACGGAAAGCGGGGGAAACTATAGTGGTAATATTTCTACTACTTGAGCGAGTTTATCATTCTCCGTTCCGAGTAAATTGTTATTTTACAAACTGTCGCTGACGAGCCGAACGATTCAACTTACACGTCAGCGTTTACGAACTTATCAATGCATCGTGTATCGCGTACGTCCCTTGAATGCCCTCCAAAACGTTATCAGAACTACGCTAATTATAACGGCGGCACCAATTAAGATAACATGGTGACTCAGCCTGAACTCCATCTCTCCAATCACATTCAGCTTTATTATTCCAGCAACTTCGTTATTCTGCCAACAGCTAGGTGGTAAAGAGAAATGAGTTTTTTTTTTTTTTTTCGTTGTTCCTCGTCGTATCCTTGTCCGCTGACCAAGTCCCTCGACTTACCTGTATGTATTAGCATCCTCAAACTTTAAAGGTTCAAATAGTATTTGCATCTGAGGATTAATACGAATTCTTCCATTCGATTGCAATTTAATGTGAGATGGTATTATCGCTTTGTCATCGATTCGCCAAACAATTGGAGTATCCGCGTTCAAATTTCTAAAATAAATTTTATTTCTCACATTTATCGTGATTAGCGAAACTCAATTGGAATTTGTGCCGTAAAGTTTACCCTGGACAAACGAGCTTCATCTTTTTATTGTGTTTTTCATAAATTACGCTACGTGCAATCGATGGCAGTGCTTCGGGTATTCCTTGAATCATGGAAAATATACCAGCGCTATTGTTTGCACTTTCCAGAACATTGCCCTTTTCATCGCGCACTTGGAATATAATATTTCTCTCACATGTTTTCTGTTGCAAGGAGAATAGATTCTTAATTAATTGTTCGATTCTCATTAAACTTTCTATCGTCACAGTCATATTAGATCGCGATTACATTCGAATGTTTCCCTTTTGATACGACTTCTCTCTTTACTACCATTTACATTTGATCGATGACGATAAGAAGTCAATTCTTACGGGAAACGTGGAACATTACATGCTTAAATTGAACTGTTTACTTGACAAGATACGATGCAATTGTGAATCAAATTTTTATACATCTTGCTTAGTGTGTACTGTCGAAAACCGTAACAAGTATATATATAGCATGCAGTGTTGGAGAAAAGTAGAGAGAGCAAGAGAGAGAGATTCACTATCATTTTCTCAATCTCAAATATCGTAACTTGATGTGCTGTAACGTGCGTACCTTGCAGTATCGACTCATTATTGCAGTTTTTCTCTCCTTAATACCGGGAATTTGTCGAACTTGTTCCGGAAGAAGTCTCGATTTGCACGGTAGTTTGTTTCTAAACAACATTAGTACCGTTCTCAATTGAATGCTCAAAGTTGTATTTGTCACGTCCACGTCTGCCTGCATCACGCCTCTGCGCGCACGATTCCGTTCACCGGCTTGAAATTTCATATAGGAATTCAATCGGAGCTTTAACGACTTTTACACTCACCTTTCTTTCTATACCTCGCTTCATACGTCGCGGCTTCGTATGCTGATTCGTTGTCGGTGTGCTTTCGTTAGCGAGATATCTGTGCTCTGACATTTCCAAGAGGGAGACGGTGCAGTAACCGTATCGCAGCTTTATCCCGACCGCGTCGCACGTGGAGCAGGGACTCCACGTTGTCCAAGCGGTGTGAACCCTCAGCTTGTACTCCGGCACATTTTCCACCATCACCGCGCTATCCGGTGGCTGTACATTTACCGTTTTCAAATCGCTGTCAATGTGCAAGTAGTAAACTGATCCTATGGTGTCTCCTACTTCACACCAATACGTTCCTGCTTGCTCCAACTCGGAGAGAGAATCATATTAATTTATTAATTATACTATACATTTATATGTATTTTTTATCGGTTAACATAATTGCGAAGATAACAAATGGGTCATCTTTTTTCAATAACATAAAAAAGAGAGCGTCATCGTCGCCTTTCCTGTGATTACGTATTGTATGTAATCTTTGAATTTATACCTTGACATTGTACATGGTGACATATCGGTTGTCTGGTGAATTAAGAATGCGATAGTCCGTGTTCCACAGTGTACTTTTAGCGCTATTACTTTCACCGCTGCTGTTGCTGCTACCGAAGTACCATTCTGTTAGAGAAGTCACGCGTATCTCCATCGGCGAGATGCAGATTCGGCATTCTAAGCTGTAAATTAATTTGTTCGAGCCTCATTGTAATTGTGACACATTTTTACGATTATATTGCTGTTATTTTGTCACTCGCACGTCACGGACGTTCCCTCGAGCGCTACGAGCGCGTTCGGATAGGTGATTCTGTCGTGCCTCGCGTCCGCATACGTCCTCTCCAAACACTTGTAATAATCCAGCCACTGTTGCTTGTGTACACGTCTTAGGGTCTTGTTAGCTCTCGGGTATTCAGATTCGTCGACATTCAGAAACATTTTGTCACCTTGTTTACAATCATTTAAATCTTTCTCATAATTACCGTCGTATACTTGCATTTGTATGTGCGCACATACACGCAATGTAATTATCTGTATATCTTGTCACCCACGTGTAATTGAAGCGCCTACCTACCGTGCTTGCCATTAGACAATGTATTAATCTGTTTTCGTAATTCATGCTTGTTTAACAAGTTCGGTTTTTGCGACAAAGCTAAGGCTAAGGGTATATTGTTCAAATAATAGATTAAGAGTGGAACTACACGTACCCTTATTATCATTGTGTATAGTCGCTGCGTGAAGTATTCGCAATGTATGAAACGAAATGCCAATCTAATATCGGTTCACTTTTTTTTTTCTCCATACACATTTGCATGGTAATATAAAGATCTGTGCAGATGAATGTAAATGAATACATTGTTTACACAAAGTCGAACGCGAGCCGTCACAGCTATTTGTCGAAGGATGTTAACGAAACGCTCGTGGATTTGTAAAGCTCCACGAGCGAAATTGTTGCGACGAAAAGGAAATTTAGAAATGAAAGATACACAGGACAGTTAAATCAAATGGCATACTTTTTTTTGGCGTTATATAAATTATACAGGGTGAGGGAAAAGTGTGAAAACCCCTAAATTTTTCGAAAACTGCATTTTAGAAACAAATGTTTGAGACAAAAGTTGGATGAGATAAAAGACGTAAGATGGTGTCATTAATTTGACCTTGAATAGTTGCTTGAAGGTCACATTAGAGCTGCACTTATTGATAACACTTTGTTCTCTATACGAAGATTGTAATTTAAATTGATGTAGAGTTAATTGAAATTACAGTTTGCGCCTTCTTTCCTTTCTAACACAAGTCAATTTTACCTACACATACGAGTATATGTACCTGTTTATACGATAGGAAATATTGCAGCGACATCGAACATACATTAACATTTCGTTTATACTACAGGAAAACAATAACATATCAGGCTACTCAAATCCAGAGTTGGATATGATAAGTAAAGACATAGCGGAACTTGTGCGTGAAAGACAAAGCATGGAGCAGGATATAGCGCAAAAGGAAGCCGACATTAAGATAAAAAACGGGGAGATTAAGAGTCTTCAGAGCGAATTGGATACGCTTGCGGCTACCCTGAAGCAACTTGGAAATCAGAAGGGTGAGGCGCAGAAGAGGTTGAACGATTTGAAAGCGCAGGTAAACGGAAATTGGGTAATGTATCGGCTTGCTTACTGAATGTCCGCGCACTGCTTTTTAGATACAACTACACGCGGTACGCATATACATACAGTTGCCGCATGTACATTGCTCTCAAGTCGCGTAAGATGAGGCCAATTTTTTAACTAATCGATAAATACCGTAAAGAATTATTTGACGCCAGTACACGATTAACCAATGTAGAAAAATTGCTAAACGGCACTAACTGGCAAACTCTAATTAAAGAAATATTGCGAAAGATATTACCTCAGCCAGGGTTTGTGCGTCGTTTAGCAATTCTTCTACATTGGTTAGTCGGTAAATATTCAAATAAATGCAATCAGGTGCGATATATAGTACGTAAAAAATACGTACGAACCATTGCACTTGGAGTATATCGATGCATTTACGTTTCGTTTTGTACGAATAATAGAGAGCACGAATGCAACAGCAATACAAGACAACTGACATCAATTACTATCATACTACATTTTCCTATTGTTTTTTTTAATCATTATTTATTCGTAAATGTCCCGAATCCATCGTATGCTCGTTCACTTTGCATACGTATATTTCTGATGTCACCCGCGTCGTTGTTTATCAGGCGGTAAATTAAAGAAGACAAAAGTAAGGAAGAGGAACGAGAGAAAAGGCGAGGAAAATGGATAAAAATTTAATTCACCGTTTAATTATTGTTAATTATTCAATTGTGCGTTTAATTATCTAGTTCAATTATTTAGTTTGTATTTGTGTTTGTTTTTCTTTATGATTTTGTTTTATTATGTTTGGCTTGTAGAAGACTGAAGTAGATAGAGATTTGAGTGAGGTCGAAGAGAAGATTCAGAGGGAACTGAAGAAGGTACATAAAAAGATGACAGTGCCGCTTAAAGTGGATCTTGTCGTTATCTTTGCGCATTAAAGTGTCATTCGGTATCTGTCGCGGTTACTAAGAATGAAGTCTCGGGTAAATTTTTTCCTTTTCTTTTTTTCCCCCTTTACGTAACTACGTAGTTTGTTACGTTCCTACGACGCGTATACGTGTTGCGTGTGTGCGCTCGCGCGTTTGTGTATGTATGTATATCGCTAAAATTGTCTGTCTCTGATAAATAGATGATAAATACATGTCTTTTGAAGGAAGTTTCGTACTAATTGTAATAAGGTAAAAATATAGCATACGCAATCTCTGTTACAAGCATATCATTCAACTCTACTTTCGCACAAGACGCGATAAGGCTAATGCATTATTAGTGCTTTTCTGGCATGCACGGTACACACACCTTTCGTTACACTCTTTTCTGTGATATACAAAGTAGCGAAATTAAACTGTTATCGAGCAAATAAAATTAAGTCGCGTATCTTTTCACTTGTTTTGATCTGTATCGACTATCAATTGTACAAACGTAAACAGCAGCTGCATACAAGCATACCGACTAATAACATGTGCGGGTTTTTCTATTATTTTCACTTGAAGTCTACTCGGGTGAGCGGGAGGGGGGGGGGGACACAAGCAAGTGGAATTCTTTACGAGTCAATTTCATTTCCTCAAGGTCGACAAGCTCCGTCAGCAAGCTGAGGAACAAGAATCGGTGCTGCGAGGTCAGGAAGATGAGCTAAACTCGAAGAGGCAGGAGCTCGAAGGACTGCGACAGGAGGAGCAGCAATTGGAGCAGCAGCAGAATAAAAACAGGGACCAACTGAACGAGCTGACGAAAAAGTTGCAAGATACTCAATTAGAGATCTGTCAAGCAAAGGCGAAGATCACTCATTTGCAGGAACAGCAACGTCAGATGAGCGATGCCATTGCGCTTTACGATTCTGCGCTCGCCGCGGGTGACGTCAATCTTGTACCTGATACTAGTCTACAATTTATACCTGAGATTGAAGATATAGAGTGCGTAGTTTCGTTTGTCTAATTGTCTAAGACGATCTTTCTTATTGGAATCGTAATGACATTTCTGTATGCACGTGTGGAAAAACATTAGGTACGAAATGGCAACTGAGAATACGGGCAAGACGAATGAAATGGAAGCAGATGTAACCGGGACGTTAAACGGATTTGGAGACCAAGATCCTTTTGCATCGAATCAAGCCAAAGAAGCATTTAACACACCGATGTCCGATCCGTTCGGAAACGCGTTTTCCGCGCAGCAATCTAACGTAAGTTCTTTTTACGTTTTGTCTCTCGCGTTACTCTTTCGTCACTTCGCATATGCGTATCTACGTGATCTACTCCACGATGTGTATAGAATAGACGCAGCGACAAAAAGGAGAACAAGGTCCCGAAGGACAAAGAGTAGAAAATGCCAGACTGTGGTTTGGCTATAGCGATGTAATATTTATTTATTATGAGCAATGTTTGCATTTTTCATTCTGTTGTGAGCACTAGTGATCATTAACAAACGAGTCTCATCCCATAGAGCGGTTTTGCGGCAGATCCTTTTACCGCGTTCGATAATAGCAACGTAGCGGCAAAGCAAGATCCTTTCGACCCGTTTGGTAGCGGGAAACGAGCTGAGAATAAAGCTGCGCCCGCAGCTACATCGGTATGTAAATCGGTTTTACTTGTTTGCAAACTGCAAACGTCTCATCCGAAATCTCCGTATTTCCAACGCCGCTTGTGTGCGAATCAGAGATATAGAATTTCATCCTGTAACGGAACGTTGCTGAAATAAAGTGCTAATAGAAACGATGGCTTTCTGTTAAGGATACGAAGGATCCGTTTGGAGAGGATCCATTTGCCAATCTTCACGCACCTCCACGTCCGGAGAGCCCCAGTCCTGCTCTTCCACCGAAGAAAGCGAAGCAACCACCGCCGCGTCCGGCTCCGCCACGGCCGAGTCAAGGTCCTGCCGGCCCAATGAGAGCGGCGCCCGCACCTCCAACGCCTTCACCTACTCCAGACCCATTTGCGAACGCAAATTCAGATCCATTTAGCGCTCAGCAGACAACACTCGATAACAATAATAGTTTTGCATCTTCCGGATTCGCCGACTTTGCCAATTTTGATTCCAAGGTGCGTATTTTATGTTATTTTATTTCCAGTAGTATCTTCTGACTGTTTTCTACTTTTGTTTTCCCCTTTTCTGCTACTTCCCCTCAATGGCGCATCATCCTCGAATAATCTTGGCAACCTTTTCTGTTTATAATGTTATCGTAATTGTTCAGTACCTTACATTAGGTATCTTACATGTGATGTGTGATTGATGGATTATGTCGGGAGATAAATATGAAAAAAGAACCTGCCTTACGACGTTCATACACATAGAATTATAGAGTGACGCAGGATGAGGAAAATAAAATATAGAGAATATCCGATTTTATTTTCCTCCAGCGAATTTACTCGAAAACTGAGCCCCTTTGTCTGCAAAGGTACAGTAGCAAAAATTCCAAACTCTTTCAATTGGCGCGATATATTCGGACCTTCCACAAAATATTTTACCACAGTTGCTAGAGAACGTACTATAAATGAGTTTAATCTTTCCATGACCACTGGAGTCCACTTACACATCTTTTGTCTATCTGCAGTTTCTTGGCATGTCCCACTTACGTGTAGCACGTGCTACCGTCTGCCAGGCACATGTGTAACTGTTCCAACACTAAAGAAACGTTTACTGTTGCACCAAGTCACGGTGTTTACGAGTTGTAGAAAATAGACGTCAAAAAATCAAATGGTTCCGCATGCATTCGATTATCAAAAAGACATTGTATTAATAAAGTGCTAAAGTAAAAATATGGTCGTGAAAGAATGTTAAACACGATGTGGTACTTGATCTCAAGATAGAATTTTATCTCAAACGAATCAAATCTATTCTCTCCACACTCGTCAAACTTGACACTAATAAATTACTTTTTTGGGGGTTGTACATAATCCTCACTATATGTGATTTAATTTATTGCGTGTATTTTGTTTTGTATTTAGGTATAGAAGCTGTACAATTTTGTTAGTTTTCCCCACTGTTGAGCTGTCTTGTGGAGCGTACCGTCTGCAAAACTAATTGGTTTATTATTTTTCTTTTTAGGACATTTCACGTTTATTTGTCGCATGAATACATTTGATTGTGATTTTTAGTTTTTCTCTTTTTCGGCGACGCGTGCGTTCGAGCCGCGTCCATCAGTGTATGGCGGATAACGACGAGGTTTTTCTCGTCTGGCAATAGTTTGTTCAGCTCGAGACACGGCTCGAACGGATCGCAGCAAATGATATTACAGCACCCTCGATAGCTTTGTGACGTAGTGAGAGCCCTATCCAGCCGGCAGCCGCGGAGGTCAACGGTGTCCGCGTCATTTTCTCTTGTACCTTTTCAGTAAAACGAAATTGACCAGTGACAAAAACCTGCTTCAGCCAGAACCGACGGCTAATCGAACGGCCCCAGCAAGAGCGACGAGTAAAACCCACGTAGCGGTGGCGCAGCAACCGAAGCTGTCGGACTTTACGGAGGATCCGTTTCGAGACTATCGTTACGAAGACCCTTTCAACATAACGGACCCGTTCGCCGACGAGACGGAGGACTTGAACGCCAACAAGAGCAGCAGGGGGACGACGGATCCTTTCGGCTTCGAGACGCGAGCCGCGTTCTCGAGTAAAGGCAATCTGGGCACTTCGGCTAAAGACAATTTCGACAACGATTTCTCAAACACCTTCCCGCTCGCTAAAGCGAAAGCCGAGAGGGACGGCACGAGCAGCGCGAGCAAGTTCGACGTCGACTTTGGAAAGGCCTTTTCCGCCGAGAACAAAGCGAACGTTCGAGACATCGAGGCCGAGTTTTCCCAAGCGTTCGCCAACGTCAAGGCGTCGAAAACGATCAATCTCGACGAAGCGTTCTCGGCCAAGGACAACGCTAAGGCCGCGGCGAGGCACGAATCCAGTGTCTGTTACAACGATGAAAAACTCTCCGACAGCTTCGGCAAGATGTGGAACGGTAATAACATAACGAACTTGTCGGAGGACGAGCAACTGGCGTGGGCAGAAAAGCAGAGTATAAAGGCGGAGGAGGAGAGGCTCAGGCGTAAGGAAAAGGAGGACGCCGAGCTGGCTCTCGCTCTCGAGCTGAGTAAACGGGGAAAATCGGGAAACGTTTAAACGTTTAAAACCTACCCTACCCTATCCTACCTTAAGGTTAAAGGATAACGCTACTTCCTTTCGTTGATTGTCACGCCGTTAATCACGAACCCGTCAAATTGCATGAGACAGTCTCATAATAATGACATTGTGCAAGCTTGTATTGTTACGCATTATTAGCATCACGTGTAGAAGCGAGATGTAGTCACAGGTTTATCAGATTGACAATAACGTCGAGTGTACACAGATATTAAGAGTACCCTAAAAGAAAGGGAGAGATTATTACGGATGTTATTACAGAGATGATTATGGTCATTCGATATATTTGAGCGCGTTAAGAATTTCATATATCTGTGTTTTCAAACGGTCGAGCTATAATATTTGCGAGAATCGACGAGAATTGTCGACAATTGGCGAGAATTGAGGAGACGAGAATTACCTTATTCTTTCTTTTCTGTTACTTTTGTGTCGCCTGTACTCTTCTTTTTTTTCTCTCTCTCTCGCGAACCCACTATTCGTGAACGCTATTCGATCTAAGAGCGTTACGCGGCTATTCTGAAAATGAGTTACAACTAATAAATATACTTGAATGATAATAAAAATAATATGTGAAAAGTTCATGTTGTAAAAGAGTTATTCGATCAAAGCACGGTAACAGTATCATTAAACGCATCGTTATCAATATGTAAACGCCTATATAGTAATCGAATATTACGAGATTTCAACGATACTTGTCGCTGATTGCTCAGCAGCGTATGAGATCTAAGTCACTTGACGCCAGCCTTCAACGTAAACTTGATATGTATGTGTGCGTGTGTGTATATGTGTGAGAGCGAGCGTGCGTGCGTGTGTGTATGGGTGTGAGAGAGAAAGGAGCAAAGTATTGAAATAATTTCCGCGACAATGCCGTCTGATTCAGTTTTAGAACGTTCCAAAGAATGTAGTGTCTCAAGGGCGGGCGTGTCTCTGCGCTTGGCGAAAACGAGTTCTCTCATATCTGTACCCGACGAATAAGGACTCGAGGACCAAACGCAAAGGATCACGTCCGTCTCGTCGCTACATTGTAATATCGTATAATTTCGACAACGACGTTACGCATGTATCTCATACGATGTATATATATTAATATTACGAGAGATATGTCAAGTCACGATAATTCTCATTGCGTAAGTTTTTATTGTAATTGTTTAGTTGTAAGTTTAGTACACATATGTATATTGTATGGTCTATACAACGCATCGTCAGTAATCTCAGTGCAAAGGCACATGTGTCTCTATTCAGTTTCGACACGCGTCTATTATGTAATTTTCATTTCATCCCGCCTTTAGACGTTTAACGTGTATGTATGTAACGTGTACGCGAGTATATGTACGTACTGTAGGTACGCGTTGAGAAAATTCCACTAAAATAAATGTACGATACTTTCAAATATATCTATCGCTTAAATTGGTTTTTGCGCGCGACTCGTCTCGCTTTGACCGATAGAGTTCGAGCGGCAGTCGAGAGAGTTTTCGGTCATCTCTAACGTTCTGGGTATCTGTCTCTCGTACGTTTTATTCAGTCAGCATCACGACGGGCGGGTCTTTGTCGCGCCGACAAAAAGTTCGGTCTAAATAAGAATTCAGTTGTCCATACGTGCCGGACAAGATGATATAAACGATATGATATATCCTTATAATATAATGTGTAAACGTATAATATATAATTGCACGACTTTCCCTTATCCGTTTAGATTGAAAGCTTGCGAACGACTCGCGCAAGTATACGTCACATATCGTAAGAGTACGCAGATAACACATGTAACAAATGCAAAAGTAGAAAGCAGATCCGTCGATTTGTTTTTAACAAAGTGTGCGACAGGCCGTGTAATACTCGATTCTTGAACGATTCGTTGTGTCTCGTCGAATATGGTGAATTGGTCGTATTAGGACAGGAGGGTGCATCGATTCTTACAGTCAGAAAGACCAAAATATCAAGTTTTATTTTATTCTCTTTCGAAAAAATATATTTCCTTCTGCACGTTTGAGAGTGTCATTTTTGGATCGTTTTGTGTGCGTGCGTGCGTGCGTGCATGGGTGTGTGCCTGTGTAAATGTCTAAAGAGAAAGAGGTTGAACATATAGTCCTCTTGTGGTCAAAACAGCTGGAAGCGACGAAGTTTTCCAATTGTATGATTATTAAACTCTATTATTCATCCTTCGACTATTCTTTCGCGATATTATTCGGACGTCTATACAAGCTATATCCAAAAGAAAGAAAACTATACGTTCTACATTCTACAAGTATGCATGTATTGTAGATCAAGGTACACCCTGCAATTATAAAATGTTAAGAATGTCTAAGTATCAGTAGAAGGATCCGTAGAAAAGGTCCGTTCAATGATGAAGATGTCAATGAAACCAACTTGGAATGTAATAATCTTTTTTTTATTTTTTTACTCCTGAATAATCTTCCATTTTTCTTATTAGTGCAGTCATATATTCTTTACTATACTACTTGTTAATCAGTATTGGTGCATACGTGTTTATTATCGTCATATTCGTCTGGTATTCTTTGTACGAAACTTTGTAAATGAATATTATTAATTTACAAAGTTTCATGCCAATAATTTCGTCTTACATTTACAAATTTTAACTTTGTATCACCGACCAATGCCGTATTTAAATGTCTACATTCTGGACGAACTTTGATTACCAATAGGGTCGGATTTCGTGCTGACGCTCGACGCTGGATTCGAGCGTCAAGTCTGGTCACGTGACTACACTTGACGCTCGATCTATGGAGGAGCAAATAGCGTCAAATAGCCAGCGTCCATGCTTGTTTGAGCGTCCGGAATCAATAGATAACGAAACCTACCAACTGGATTGACTGAAATGAGCGTCGAGCGTCGAAGCTAAACACAGTTTAGCTTTTCTTACTCTACGCGGGAATTCAAAAATCTATCACGTGACCAGGTTTGACGCCGAATCCAGCGTCGTGCGTCAGCATTTAAATCTGACCTACACGCGCGCAAGCGCAGCGAACTGATGGCGCAACGTTTGAAAAGCGTACGCCTCTCTATACTTTTACACATGCCATGGTTCTCCGGTAAAATCTATACCAGAGAGAAGCCTGAGAGATGTCACGGCCCCGTTTTTCGTGATACGCGAATGCGATACGCCCTCTGTGGACATTGAAAACGTGGACATTGAACTACGTAGCCAATTTGCACATTTTG